TTGAATGAGCTAAAGTAAAAATAAGGAAAACAAAAGGACAACTAAAAAGGGAAAAGGGGGCAGATTTCACACATGGAAATGTTTAAAGGGAACAAGGAGAGGGTAGGGAGGAGGAGCCGGGGAGATGGCTCAGTAGAATAAGTGCTTCCCTGTAAGTGCAAGGGCCTGAGTTCAATCCCTGGTTCTGCCAAAAAGAAAAAGAAAAAGAGGGTAGGGAGGAAGCAAAGGGAAAATGAGTGGAATAAAGATATGTCATATACAGGAACCTAATATAACCCTACTCTGTGAATATTACAGGTCACAGCATGAGCTAAGACAAATAGTATCAGAAAGTACAAAAAATGTAATTGGGGAATCACTGGAGGAATAAGGAAGAAAAAAGATTTTAAAAACCAGCTGTTATATGTACATGTAACCACATCCCATGATTAATGTAAACTTCATGAATTACAGACATGTTCTAAGTAGAATAAATAAGAATAAAAATACCAATAGACCTTAACAGACATTTCTCCAGAGAAGATCTATAAATGGCCAATAGGTATGTGAAAAAAACATTCAAAGTCACTAGTCATGGGAATGTGAGCCATAATGAAATACCACCCTATCACTTACCCCAATAAGAATGACTGCTCTCAAAAAGACTAAAGATCACAAATAAATTAGTGCATCCATTATAGAAACAGTATGAGTCACTCAAACAATAAAAACCAGACTACCATGTGCTCTGGCAAGCCTACTACTTAGCATATATCCAACAGAAATGAGAGCAGCCTGTCAAATATGTCTGTATTTCCACAATCATTGCAGTACACAATAGCCAAGAAATGGAAACAGCTCAAGTGTTCATCAGCTGATGAATGCATAAAGAAAAAATAGTAAACATACTCAATGGAACATGTTTTGCCATTAAAAAAGAGTGCAGTTCTATTGTTTGCAATAACACGGATGGAACTGGAGGTCATTGTATTAAATAAAATAAGTCAGGAACAAAAAGATAAGTACCTTATGATCTGACTTATATGTAGAATCTTAAAAAGTTGATCTCATAAAGTTGAGAGTAGAATGGTGGCTACGAGAGGTTGGTAAGGATAGGGAGAAGTAAGGGATGGGGAACGATTTATCAGCAGTACTAAGTTTCAGTTTGAAGTAAGAAGTTCTGGTATGCTATTACAATGCAGGTATGCTATTACATTGCAATAAATAACAGTAATATAGTATTGTTTCAAAAAGCTAGCCGAAGGGATTCTGAATTTTTTTTCCATAAAGAAATAATGAATTGGGAGACATGTTTAACATACCATTAACCATTATTCATTTTCTCTCTCACACACACACACATATATCTGATCCATATTAATTAATCAGATGGTATCCATTAATATACAACTATTATGTTTTATGAATAGATTAAAATTAAAGATAACTGTTTTATGATGTATAAAAAGGCATGAAGTATTTACCCAGTAAGATAGGTATATTTTTTTTACACAGGCTTTATAAATATTCAAGGCTAAAGAAGTGAAAGGGCAGGGGCTGGGGAGATGGCTCAGTAGAATAAGAGCTTGCCTGGCAAGCACAAGGGCTTGAGTTAAATCCCAGGTTCCTCAAAAAAAAAAGAAAAAAAGAAGGAGAAGAAGAAGGACAGAGGAGAAAACACCACCTTGCTTTATTTCTTCCCAATTATGGACTTAGCTTAAAATATTTACCATTTATTCACACCTCGAGTATTTCCAGAGTGCTGATCATAAATAGAATGAAGACATTATTTTAAAAGCTTCAAAGGTTACTAAGATACAGGCTCCTTCATGTTTTTAGTCTATAATAGGTATGGCTAATCTTTAAATATCTGTACCATAAAATCAATAATGATAAATGCTAGAAGAAATTATAAATTAAGACCCGAAAGTACTTTAGGAATTGAGAAGGTTTTTTTCCACTAGAAGTTATCCACATTGCAATTTGCATACAAAAAAACAAGAACTAGCGATCTCTGTAGTTAGAGAACCACTAGGTACTTTGTTTGTTTATTTATTTTCATGCCTTTTTTGTTTTGTTTTCTGGGCTGTAATTGTCTTTATGAGAGAGTATATATTAATCCGTATCCTAACTCCCTAATTATGCCCAGCCCATATTTGTTGATGGATATGTGTGGCACAAATAATCAAACTTGTTGCTTAATAAGAAAAACTTTTCTTCTATTACAAAGAATATTTAAAATGCAACTCCTATGTAACTAAAAGATAAACTGAAATATAAGGAGCTAAACATATTTAAAATGGACAGTTTTTATAATATTATAGATAATTTATACCTTAAGTCCAGCATAGAGCAGAAAGATCAGATCTTTCTAATTTGAGACCTATATAGCTGAATAGAAATCAGAAGCAGCTCTCAATTCTCTCCATTTACAGATTCATGATGTTTGACCAAGCCCAGATCTCAATGAACGTGAATTATAAATACACTTGAATTACAAATGACAACCTATAATGATTCTTTTTTTAAGTGTTTACCTACAATTTTCAATAGAAAATATTATTCAAAGCAACACTAAATTATTTCCTTCAAGATATAAATTTTTGATATTTTGATAGTCTGTAAGGAAAAATGTCATATTAAGATTGTTAGTAACTTCACATGTCTTGAGAGAAAGGTAGCAGATGATGGTAGTAGTCTTACAACAAAACTCTATGTCTTTGAGGCAATTCAGTGAATATGTCTGAAGCAACTGCTGGGACTGTGGTAGAAATGCTAAATGTAATAAGATGCAATGATTAGAAACTGTAGTCTTTGGAGGGATGGGTAGGTAGGTAGGTAGGTAGGTAGGTAGATAGATATGCATTATAAAGTAGTTTTAAAAGATGCAAACTTACTTATCTCATATATCAAAGTCTAGAGATAGTCTAAGACTTAATCTAATTGCTCTTGGATTCTTTCTTCTCCTCGCTTCCATTACTGTGTGGGATTGTGTCCTCCCAGTTGAAAAATAGTGATAACATCTCAGTTCATTTATGTTGCAGATAGAAAGGCAAAAGTTGGTTTTGTCTTTTTTTTCTGTTAGGACTTGTCTCTTTTATCTTTTTATTTGTTAATATGATTCCTTCCCTAGACATATCTTCTTATATCCCACTGGCCAGAATTATGTCATGGTACCAATCCCTACTGCACAGGTAGCTAGGGAGAAAAGAGAGTGGACACAGCAGTTAGCACAGCCAAGCAGCAGTTTTTACATCTCTTTTATCTGTTAACCGTGTAGGCTATTCATTTGTAAGGTTTCAGTGGAAGGCCAAGTCATTTATACATAAGGATATAGTGCAAGTGATAGTAGGAATTATTACATATAGGGTTTCCAAAGGCCTCTCTGATGAGGTGATTTTTGAGCAGATACCTGAGAAAAATGAGAGATGGTGGATAGGCCTATAATATTTGGAGAATTGTCTGAAATAGAAAAACTACAAGTTTAAAGCCTCTTGAGGACAGATATATTTGACATTATCAGTAAGAGGGAGCAAGCCAGTATAACTGGAGTACAATGAGGAATGTGTGCTATGAGATAAGATCCATGGATCAGTAATATACTGGGCTTAATAAGTTCTATCAAATATTTTTACTTTAAGTGAAAAAAAATGAAGTCTTTGGAAAAGTGTGCACTGTAGCTACTGTGTGGTGTAGAAATTATAGAACAGAAATAGCACAATTAGGACACTACTGAATTTCCCAGGATATAAGTAATGATTTCAACTGTTGTAATAACCATAGAAGTGGTGAATAATGATTAGATTCTGTATGTATTTCTGAGGTAGTTTAGGTATAGTTCTGACAAAGAAGGGAAGATGAGGATATATCCAAGATTTGGATCTACTAACTGGGAAGATGGAGTAGTTGTTTACTAAAATGGAAATTACAAGAAAAGAAGATCCTTATTTTCTTGGAGGGCTGGGGAATCCAGACCTGTAATTTTGGGCATGTTAGGTTTGACTTGCCTGTTACACATACAGGTACATTTTGGATGATTACAAGTCTGAAAGTATGTTGTCTGCTGGACAACAGATGCTTTACAAACCTACAGTTACAGATAGAGACTAATATTGGAGATATAAAATTAACAGTTTTAGTTTATGGGTGATATTAATGCCATGGAACTAAATAATGTCACACAGGGAGTAGATAGCTAAATAATGATTTTTTTGATGACTAGTTACAGAGGAAAGAAAATTTCCTATAAAGTCCCAGTTAAATTTATATTTGGGAACTTCATTTTATTATCTTATTAAAGTTTAATGTTGAGGAATTAAATTAATTTAATTTAATTTAATTAAAGTTGAGGACATGAACTCTGAAGCCAAGCATACCTGGGTTGGAGTCCTGTGTTCTTCTGTTACTAGCTCTGTGATTTAGGCAAAGTCATAGCTTTCTCTAAGCCACTTTCCTCATCTCTAAATCCGTATAGTGCCTTGCCATAGACTGGTTTGAAGATTGATGAGTTAATTTAGTACAGTCCCTTGCACATAGTAAACACTAAAAATCTCTATATAATATCATTTCATTTCGCTGCCTTTTGGCACAGGCTATACTATTGGTAACTTGGGGCCAGAGAGATAGTTCAGTGGTCTAGGAAGCTGCCTGGCAAGTTCAAGGACCCAGGTTCAATCCCCTGTACTACATGCTGTGCTAGCCTCACACCAAGCCAGCCACTGAAACCTGGTTTGGTGGCACACGCCTGTAATCCTAGCACTGGGAAGGATCATTACAAGTCTGAGCTGCATAGTGAGACCCTGTACCAAATAAATAAATAAATAAATAAATAAATACTATTGGTAACTTGATTTAATGTCCTACCAGAGCAAGCCTTTTTTTTTGTAATCAAGAAAAATAAATTAGCTGGTAATATTTATTTGAGAACACTTAAATTGGGAGTTGTTGAGAGTTATAAATTATTCCCACTTTTTGATCAGTATTTCAGTATCATATTCTTGATTAATTATCTTACTCTTTAGGTCACAGTGCTGTTGATATCACCAAGGTGGCTAGAAGACACCGCATGTCTCCTTTTCCTCTGACATCTATGGACAAAGCCTTTATCACAGTCCTGGAGATGACTCCGGTGCTTGGGACAGAAATCATCAATTACCGAGGTAATATCATATTTACTTTTTGCTCTTTTTTTCTTTAATTTTTTTCCAAGTAAAGTTCATACAACATGAAGACAGAGTTTCCCTTAAAGAGAGAAACTGTAAACCATTGTCACAATGTTAATCATTCTTTTTGTTTCTTACTCCTATTCAACCAAAGGATCAACCTTAACAACATATAAAGTGTAACAACATAAAGCTTCCTTTTCATAAAAAAAAAAAAAATGAGAAAAGTCAGCAGTGTTTCTGATTCAGAAGACTAAGACCTAGTCTAAAGAGGGGGCTATCAACACTATGTGAAGAAAATAATTAACTCTGAATCTACATGATGAGTTTTTACTTGATCTTAGCCAAAAGGCCGAGAAGCAATACATGATGAGTTTTCTTTCAGAAATGGAAGATAACTTCTGTCATGTAATTATTTTTTTTTTTTTTTTCGGAACCAGGGATTGAACTCAGGCCCTTGCGCTTGCCAGGGAAGCGCTTATTCCACTGAGCCATCTCCCCAGCCCCCTTGTAATTATCTTTACCTGTTGTAGAAAATACATTTAGCTGGTCTCTGACTTACAAAGATTTGATTTACAATTGTTCAGCTCTGTGATGGTACAAAAGCAATACGTACTTAGTAAAACAATGCTTCACATTTTGTACTTTGATCTTTTCCTCCACTGGCAAATGTGGTATCATATACTGTCTTACAGTTCTGGATGGCAGCTCCCAGTCAGCCACGCAGTTACCAGAGTAAATTTATCTAAACAATAATGACCAGTACCTTAAGTATATTAAATGCACTTTGACTTAATATTTTAAATTTACAGTGCATTTATTGGGACATAGCCTCTTTATTTAAATATAAACTATGAAAAATACACTAGTTTACTCCAGGCCTGCAGTGCTGGCCCCACCCCCGAGGCAAGCTGAGACAGCCATTGAGACTGGGCGTGGAGATGTGCACCTGTAATCCCAGCACTTGGGAGGCCTATGCAGTGAGACCCTGAAGACCCTGTAGACCCTATCCAAAATAAAATAAAATACTAGTTTATCCATGGACCTCTAAGTAATCAGTGTGATCTCAATTTATTTGCATTATTTGTGTTCTCCCATTTTTTTTTTCTTTCCTTTTTATTTTTTTTTTCTTTAGGTCTAGCAGCACAAGGGCTGGCCAAATAGCTCAGTGGATTAAAGCACCTGCAAGCAGGTGCAGGGGCCAGAGGGTTCAATCCCCAGGCCTTCCATGCCAGCCCGTCCCTGGGGTGCACTGAGGCAGCAATTGAGACTAGGCATGGTGGCATGCGCCTGTAATCCCAGCTCTTGGGAGGCTGTAAACAGGAGGATCACTACAAGTCTGATCTAGTAGTGAGACCCTGAACACCCTGTAGACCCTTCTCTAAAAATACAAAAATAAAATAGATAATTAGTCTAGCAGCAGCATATTGAGAGTAGTTTAGAAAAAGATAACAGAAAGGTGGCTGTATTAGTCATCACTTTCCATTGCTATTAACAAAATACCTGGAGTAACCAACTTCTAAATAAAAAGGTTTATCTTGCTTCATGTTTTTAGAGGTTCTATTCTATGCTTGAGTAACCCCTTGACTGTCACCCTCTAGTGAGGCGGCACATTGTAGCAAGAGCATGTAGCAGAACAAACCACTCACCTCCTGAGCCACAAAAAAAAAAAAGAAGAAGAAGAAGAAGAAAAAAATGAATGGCATCTCACCATCCCCTTCGTGGAATTAACCACAAGGACCTATAGGCCTCCTACAAGATCCCCCCTCTTTGAGGTCCACAGCAACCCTGCCAGTGCTGCTCTAGTTACTGAACCTTTCATGTATGAACCTTTTGGATTTTTTTTCTTTTTTGTGGTACTGGAGGTTGAACTCAGGACCTTGGCTTGCCAGGCAAGTGCTTGTGCCACTGAGCTATATCCCCAGCCCATGTGTGAACCTTTTGGGAATAGTCAATATCCAAACTATAGCTTTGCTCTCAAAGATTTGTTTTTATCTGATAATATATGAGCATTTGTTCCGTCTCAAAGCCTAACTGCTCTAGAACTACTGAAACAGTCAAGTCCTAAGTCTCTTCTAAGACTGAAGGCAAATTCCATACAATAAGCCCTTCTCAAAACAAAACATGTTCAGGATACAATGGCAGGACAAGTACAGACAGCATATAGCTAGAGTTCATGCTACTCGAATCAGTCCTTCAATTTTAATGTTTCTGAATATGTTGATTTGTTTAAGTAGAAAACTAAAATGATGAAGAGAAAAACAATATTTGAATGTGTTTGAATATTTTCTGTGTTAAAATTGAGTAAATTATTACAATGTAATTTTCCTTTTGATAGTAATCCTTTGCAAAAAATGTGCCAGGGACAGCCACTGGACACAGGATAAATATTTCTGTTTCCAAGTGGGAAAATAGAAAAAAGTAAGGAGGGTTCAGCCCATCAGGGTAAATATTAAATTCTGTAGTTCCATGTCTGGCATCCAGGGCACACTTTAGTGATTTGTGGGTTTCCAAGGGTTTGGGCAGCCCAGCCCCCATGGTCTTGTTGGTTGCAGCCCATTTGGCCATTTTCTTGGGGTAGCTCTGCATGTTCCCTTTAACTCTCTTTGATGAGCATTTTACGTTGGTGGTATCTCTATCTACGTTGGCATCTAGCTTTAGCTTCATTCTCATAACTTTATTATGCATCACTCCTTGTAAGAACTTCAATCGTCAACATACTGTCTTCTCAGACTTTCCATTGAAATCGGGGTGGAAGTCACCTGCCTGAGTTGACTTCAGGTGGAACTCTTGCATTCTGCATGCTTGAAAGCCAGCATTGTGTGGACAATGCCAGGGTTACTACCATCAGGAGTCATACCTGAGTTGGCTTGAGCCATAGCTCCAGCAGCCCCTGGAGCCTTGCTGCTGAATGTGGGAAATTAAGTCCTTAGTCAGCCATGGGTTCACAGGTATCTCACGGTTCTTTCTGAAGTAATTCTACTCATAAAAGTCTTTGAAACAAATTTGTGTTCCTATCTTTAAGTTTGTGACAAATGGGGAGATTTCTGAGATACCCTTATATCTTTCCTATTGTCTGGAAGCTAACAAGTAAACTTGTCCATCACCATTAAATTCAGCCTCAGAAAAATGTGCTATCAGGGACTAGACAAAATATACCCATATTCTGTGCCCTGGCATAACAAAAACGGCCTCTAGTCCAATTCCCAATGGACTGTATCTTTCCATATAAAACCTTACCCATTCTGCTCTTCTGAATCCTTACCAGAATGGCCCATTAAGCACTGTATGACATTTTAGGCTTTCTCTAGCCTGCTTCTCCAAACCAGCTCCCAAGGATCTTTTATATCATCAGATAGAGTTACAGCAAGAGCCCCACTCTTCGGTACCAATTTTCTATGTTAGTCTGCTTTCTGTTCCTATAATAAAATACTATAACCAATCCAGGATCAAGAGGATCCATACTCTGGACCTCTGGTAAAGCAGCGCATCAATCAGAACACATGGTAGAACAAACACTGACTTCATTTGCCAGCAAGCTAAAAGAAGGGGAAGATCTAGAAGAAGAGAAAAAGAAAGATAGGAGACCGGAAGAGAGTAGGTAGGATCCCACATTCCTAAAGGCAGACCTTCAGTGACCTAAGCCCTCCCAACAAGGGCCCACCTCTTCAAAGTCCGTAACACCTCCCTCTAGCACCATCTTGGATACACACTGAAGGGCTTCTGTGAAACATTCAAAGTACAGGAGGAAGAGGAGTACTTCCTCCCCTGCTTTTGGTTTTTAATCAACAACTTCCATTTCCAAAATTTTACTATAAAAATTACAAACATGGAATTCCAATAGACCAGACCCCTAGTTACTTCCCTCAGAAAAGAAGTTATATTTAATGCAATCTGAATAAAATATAGTTTCTTAGTTTTGTAATGCATATGGAATTTTTTTAAAAAATCAGGAATGTGGGCCAGCCAAATAGGTCAGCAGATTAAAACGCCTGCTTAGGCAGACGCAGGGGCCAGAGGTTCGATTCCCGGGCCTACTGTGCCAGCCCCGCCTCCAGGGTGTGCTGAGACAGCCATTAAGACTGGGTGTGGTGGCCCGTACCTGTAATCCCAGCACTTGGAAAGCTGTAAACAGGTAGATCACTACAAGTCGGATCTATGTAGTGAGACCCTACAGACCCTGTAGACCCTGTCCTAAATACAAAAAAAAAAAAAAAAAAAAAAAATCAGGAATTAAACCCAGAACTTTGTACTTGCCAGGCAGGTGCTTAGCTACTGAGCTTATAAGTACAGGGGGTTTTTTTGTAAAAGCACAAGATATTCAGACTACATTAGTGAACATTAGAGAGCATCTATACAAACACACTGATTTTTTTCAGCGAGGTAACAGCATAAAAGGAATAGGATTAAGGTACAGCATAAAACAGAACAGCATAAAAGGAATAGGATTAAGGTACAAAATTACATTATTTTTCTTGCCACATGATAGCACTCTTCTTTTTTTTTTGTTTAGTAAAGAAAATTTATTGCTGTTTTAATTCAGATGTTTTAAACTGAAAGAGTATTACTTTGTTAATTATAAAAGTTAATTCAGTTTTGTTTTTTTAATAATTTTATTGAGAAACAAATAGCAATGAGACACTTTCAAAACCAATTACTAGCACAGTTTCAATAATTAATACATTGCACATTGTTGTCTTCTTAGTGGTTATGCATAGTACAAAATGCAGACATGATATCCTGTCCACAAACACTATTAGAACAAATCTTTATATTCATTAAATTAAAAGAAAGTAGCTATTTATCTATCATAACTATTTTGAATATACAGATACAAAATGATCATTCATTTATATCCCCTTTTTTTGTTTGGTTTTGTCAGAGAAGGATCTTCCATTGTCATTTAGATATTGTAGGTATGTGAATTCAGCCAAATAATCCAATATAGGCCAGTAGTCCATAATAGTAATGGGTTTTCTGTAGGACTGGCAATGTCA